GGTCATGCAACACTGCACCCTAGCTAAATTTTTAGCATTTTGTTCACACAAATAGAGCTTTCTTTTGGTGGTATTTGATCACCACTGGGTTTTTTATTCTTTGCTAAATAAAAAAAAAAAGCAAAACATTTTGAAGAGAAAAACAAGTTTTTCTTCGTTTATGTTCATATATTTAAGCCAAAATGTATTCTGCTACATTTATTTGGTGAAAATAACTCAAATCAGTGTATATTATTTAGTTTGTTTTCCTAAAACTATGGCATATATCTGAAAATCGATGAATCCTGCTGTACTGATAGCGATCTCATTTCTTGAGGCCCAAAATGCCAGGACAGTACAGATATCCCCCAAATTACCTTTTTTGGAAAGTAGACAGTCTGAGGTATTTAGTAAGAAGGATGGCGAGTTTTTTTACGTTTTCGTTTTTTTGTCATAATTTTTTGGAAAATGAAGAAATTAAAGTTCACAATTTTGTTTTTTTAACATACTGTCACCAGTGCAGTACAGTGTCATCATATGATTGGTGTGGCGGTGATCAGGGACACTGACTGGTGACAGTGCAAAAAGAAAAAATAATAATAATTTTTTTTTATAATACACTGTGACCAGAGTAATATAATGTTACCATAGTAACACTGTACTACTCTGGCGAAGTGATCAGTTTTTTTACACATTTTTTTTTTTTACACATTTTGATTGCTTAAAGCAATAAATTACATTGCTATAAACAAGCATTTTACTGAATGAAATCAAATCATTCATACCAGCAACGGGCCAGTACACAGATCAGTCATCGACTGTGTCCGATGGACACAGCTGGTGATAGATTTCACCGCAGCGCGGTACCGAGGGAGAAGGCAAGGCGGCGATTCGGGTGGACGTCATATGACATCCACCTGGATCAACAAAAATCCCGCCCACCCGTCATTTTACTATAGGCTGGGCAGGAAACTGGTTAAATTACTTCCTTCTCCTGCCCAGGACTACAGGTCCCATAGGGCATTGCTCCTCACACATTCAAAAATTCCAAGACTTTATTAATAATATCCAGGATTTAAAAAGCACCAAGGCTTACTGACATGAATGAACGGTGTACTGAGCTGTATGCGTGCTGCATTGTATTTTCTGATATGTAAAGAAATCACACATTCTGTAGGCAGGCCAACAAATCAGCTGACCAACTAATTGATTATGAAAATAGTTGACAACTATTTTCATAATTTATTATAATTGCTTATACCGATTAGTTGTTTCAGCCCTAGTGCTGTTAATACTGGAAGTTCCGCAGTGTTGAGGTTTGAACCAAAGACTTTATAGACCCGTGGGTGAAGATTCTGCTGAGAACTGAATTTACACAGATTCTGCTGTTCTGCGGATCTTACAGAACAGAAATTCACTGGGACCATGAAAATTTGGATATTTAATGAGCCTAATTTAAACCTCTAACAAAGAAGCAAATTAACATAGACTTTTTGATTTTTCATACCGTTAGCCACTGGGTGAGCTTTGTGTCTACCACTCTACCTCTGTTCAAACACATATTTATCACTTTTTACTGTTAACAGCAATATTAGTTGTCTGATTGTATTCAAAGTGCTACTGAAGAATTCTCCTATGGAGTTTAACATTTTTCTTTTCAAAGATTGAAAAAAAAAATAATAACAATAAACAACTCAAATTAATCAGCTTGGCAGACTGGTGACAAATGATACTTTTGGGACAAAGATCCATATGATAAATGTGAAATCTGCCTTTATAAGCCAAATAATTTGTCAATCAAACTTACTAGCCAATAAAAATACTTCACTCAGGTAACTAATCAGAACATGTTTCCCACAGTTAATTTTTCCATTAAATGCTGGACATTTATATATCCAGCATCTTCTAATGCCAAAATAACAAACCCCAGCAAGACGAAACATTGTAATTAGTAGAAATGCACAACAAAATACCAAGCAGTAAAAGTAAAACCAGAAAGATTTCAACTATTAGATATAGTAATCAATAAAATACGTATAATTTGCAAAAATCTGACTTAGTATTGCAATAGTATTGTCACTATATGTAAGTTGCAGATTACTAAATTCACAATTAGATGCTTATTCACTTGTGGTCAGAATGTCACTATTTACAGTAAAAAACAAATTTCTTAGTGGTAGCACATAGCTACCATTAAAATATTGGCCTTCAACTCATAGACAGCCCTTGGGAGGTTACAGCAGTAACAGGGCCGTATCTAGCCTGTCTGATCTGGGGGTGCAGTAAAAAAAGTCAAGGGGCATAATGTCAGTAGTGTGACAAGGATGCATGGAACCAGTTTTTCCCTGTTCACTCGGCACACTTTTGTCCCACGGAGTCATAACCTGGAAGTAACATTTTACAGGTAGTACAGAGGTGGTGCAGGAGTGAACTGGGAATGCTGTCATTAGTTTAGGGTGATTAAACAGAACCTGTGCCCCCTTATGTCAGGTGTCCCTAACAGAGTCCCTCCTTATATCAGTTCTTCTCAGAGTTCCTCCTTACATCAAAATTCCTGTAACAGTCCCTCCTTAACCACTTCCAGACCGGACACTTTTACCCCCTTCCTGACCAGGGCAATTTTCAGCTTTTAGAGCTATCACACTTTGAATGACAATTGCGCGGTCATGCAACACTGTACCCAAATGAATTTTTTACCATTTTTTTGAGATAGATAAAGCTTTATTTTGGTGGTATTTATTCACCACTGGGATTTGTATTTTTTTTGCTATGTAAATGAAATGTCCAAAAAATTTGAAAAAAAAAGTGTTTTTTTTATAAAATTTTGCAAATAAATAATATTTCATCATAAATCTTAGCCAAAATTTATTCCGTTATCTTTTTAGTAAAAAAAAAAAATCCAAATTAGTTTATAAGCAAAAATTATAATTTTTAAACATTTTTTTTTTACATTTTTATTTTATTCTTTTATATTATTATTTTTTATTTATTTTTTTACATACTGTCACCCTAGCAGTACAGTGTCACCATGGTGACACTGTACTACTTGTGAGGGGTGATGAAGATTTTTTTTTTTTTTTTACACTGATTGCTTTTACACCCATATAGGATGTAAAAGCAATCATTTCTCTTTCTCTCTGTGTGCATTCCTGCACTCATTGAAAAGAACTGAGTGAGCTGTGATTGGTCATAGCTTGTCACATGGTACAAGGCTTTTGTGAATAGCCTTGTACCATGTGACCTCTGTGATCATTCACAGATTTCACACATAGTAAGCAATGATGTCAGAAGTGACATCTTGCTTACTACTTTGCATGTGATCACTGATTGGCCAATCAGTGATCACATGATCGGGACCTCGTACAGAGGTCCCGTCCGACGATCGGTGTTTCACTGTGTCCGGAGGACACAGCGGGCACCGGATCGCGGTGCTGCGCGCTCCCAGGGAGCGCGCACAAGCAGGGTGCGGGGGGGGCGTTTATAGACGGCCACCCGACCCTGCAGTGCCACCGTCCGGCCGTTTATATACAACGGCCGGTCGGGAAGTGGTTAAATCAACAGTTCCCATCAGAGTGCCCTATTACATCAACTGTCCCCATCAGAGTATCCCCTCACATCAACTGTCCCCATCAGAGTGCCCTCTTACATCAACTGTCCCCATCAGAGTCACCTTTACATCAACTGTCCCCATCAGTGTGCCCCCTCACATCAACTGTCACCATTAGAGTGTCCCCTTACATCAACTGTCCCCATCAGAGTCGCCCTTACATCAACTGTCCCCATCAGAGTGCCCTTTTACATCAACTGTCCCCATCAGAGTCACCCTTACATCAACTGTCCCTATTAGAGTCACCCTTACATCAACTGTCCCCATCAGAGTGTCCCCTTACATCAACTGTCCCCATCAGAGTGTCCCCTTACATCAACTTTCCCCATCAGAGTCCACCTTACATCAACTGTCCCCATTAGAGTGCCCCTTACATCAACTTTCCCCATCAGAGTCCACCTTACATCAACTGTCCCCATTAGAGTGCCCCTTACATCAACTGTCCCCATCAGAGTGTCCCCTTACATCAACTGTCCCCATCAGAGTCCCCCTTACATCAACTGTCCCCTTCTGAGTGCCCTTTACATCAACTGTCCCCATCAGAGTGCTCTCTTAGATCAACTGTCTCCATCAGGTCTCATGGATTTGTGAATTCACTCTCAGAGGTCTGGGGGTGCACAACTAAAATCTGGGGGGACATAGCCCCCCCCTAGATCCAGGCCTGAGCAGTAATCTTCTTCTCATATATATATGATTTATACACTATGTTGCCAAAAGCATTGGGACACCCGCCTTTACACGCACATGAACTTTAATGGCATCCCAGTCTTAGTCCGTAGGGTTCATTATTGAGTTGGTCCTGCCCTTTGCAGCTATAACACATTAAGCTCTTCTGGGAAGGCTGTCAACAAGGTATAGGAGTGTGTCTATGGGAATGTTTGACCATTCTTCCAGAAGCGCATTTGTGAGGTCAGGCACTGATGTTGGGCGAGAAGCCCTGGCTCGCAGTCTCCTCTCTAATTCATACCAAAGGCATTCTATCAGGTTGAGATCAGGAATCTGTGCAGGCCAGTCAAGTTCCTCCACCCCAAGCTCACTCATCTATGTCTTTATGGACCTTGCTTTGTGCATTGGTACACAGTCATGCTGGAACAGGTAGGAGCCATCCCCAAACTGTTCCCACAAAGTTGGGAGCATGAAATTGTCCAAAATGTCTTGGTATGCTAACACCTTAAGAGTTCCCTTCATTGGAACTAAGGTGCCAAGCCCAACCCCTGAAAAAACAACCCATAATTCCCCCTCCACCAAACTTTACCCTTTGCACAATGTAGGCAGGCAGGCAAGTACCGTTCTCCTGGCAACTGCCAAACCCAGGCAGGCAACTACTGTTCTCCTGGCAACTGCCAAACCCAGACACGTCCATCGGATTGTCAGACATAGAAGAGTGATTCACAGAGAACACATCTCCACTGCTCTAGAATCCAGTGGCGGCGTACTTTATACCACTGCATCCGACGCTTTGCATTGCACTTGGTGCTGTAAGTCTTGGATGTTGTGCTTGGAGATCTTTAGCTATTGACTCTGCAGACAGTTGGAGACTTCTGAGCACTGTGTGCTTCAGCATGTGCTGACCCCGCTCTGTCATTTTACGTGGCCTACCAGTTCGTGGCTAAGTTGCTGTTGTTCCCAGTTGCTTCCACTTTGTTATAATATCACTAACAGTTAGCTGTGGAATATTTAGTAGCAAGGAAATTTCATAGACAGACTTATCGCACAGGTGGCAACCTATCACAATACTGTGCATGAACTCACTGAGCTATTGCCAGTGACCCATTTTTATACAAATGTTTGTAGAAACAGTCTGCATGCCTAGGTGCTTGATTGTATACACCTGTGGCCATGGAGGTGATTGGAGCACCTGAATCCAATGAGTTAGAGGGGTGCCCCAATACTTTTGGCAATATAGTGTAAATACAGTGTATACAGTATGCATGTATATATATATATATATATATATATATATATACATATATTTTCTTAGAGGTATTTTTGTGTATTTCGGTTCATTGTAATGTAATCGGCTGCCTACAAGATGTTTCTTTATAATTCTTTCTTATTTATTATTCATTATTAATAACTATATGTCAAATACTAATATTGTAGGTGTTTCCTCCAAGGGCTATTGTGTATGAGAGTGCAGAATGTATGCTATCAGAATAGGCTTTGTGAGAAAATTAGTTAGAGGAGACCTGGAGGGTGTATTGTTTTCCATACTGTGTGCACTCAGAGCTGCAAAACACTTTGCTTAGTAAAATGCTCATTCCTAAAACATAATCAAAACTGTCCACAACCTTGCCTCGGAGGAGGAATGAAGCATGTTAATTTTGTGTTTTTAAATAGAAAACAAAGTATGCACGTGTAATCAGCAAGCATAGTAAGCTTGCATACGTTGTACATATTTAGAAAAAGTGTAAATAAAGCACAGTTTTCAACACATGATGATAATAATACAATTTACAATAAACTAGTAACATTCTTATTTTTTTCAGGTGCAGTGCTTTAATCCAGCTGGAGGGTTGCCAACCCTTTGTATTATGGTAATCCATCTGGGAGAGTCAGCTGAGGGTCAGTCCACACTGGTGTATTCTTCTGCAGTCCTCCTGCTTTCTCATAGCTTGTTTCTTCTGGAAAATGTAGCTTCCATCTCTCCGCTTGGCTGCTTCTGCTAGGGTCCTCCTACACTTACCCTCCTGTGTAATCTGGACACATGCACCTGCGTACCGCTCATGCCCTCACACATACTATCCACTTGGAAGGGAATAGCCAAGCATGTCCATCAGCAGGTGTTGGCATGTGTCACTGTGACTCTTTTGTGTTTCCCAAAATTAACTTTTTTGCGGACCTTGCTTGTCCATCTGCCCTGATTCTGCCTTGAGTAATGACTACATGTTTGTTGCCTGCTCTGGTTCAGAAGAACAGCTTTGATTACCCTTGACAATGACCTTTGGTTATACTCCCAGCTCTGCTTCTGCCTCACCATTTGGCACCTTCAATATCTAGCTGACATTGATTCTTGCTAGTTTACTAACTAGACTCTGTAAACCTCCTGGCTCAGTATAACGGTCTCCTCCAGTTTCCAGATTGCAGATCGAACCTCTATAATAACAATTAAGCAATAAAAAAATTACAGTACTTGATAAAATTATTTGTATAAAGCTGATCACATTAAGATATATCTAAAACTACATAAACACCATAGTTTCCCTTCAAACTTTTACTTACTACTCTTATAGTACACCACTTGCCATCCATGCGCCTTGCTGTGTCTTCTTCCCTGGGTTCACATTCTCTGTTGGTTGAAAGTTGCTACAGTACACATGCTTGCCTGTGATATCATCTAAACCAGGGTATCTCAAGCAGGGCTCCATAGAACCCTAGGGTTTCTCCAGAGGTTGCTAGGGGTTCGTTGAGCAATGAGCAATTTCTGCCTTTCAGATAAGTTTTCACTGACATCTTTGATCTTTTTAGCAAGTGGGTAATTCTTCCCAATGACCCCAAGTGTAAGGAGCATTCTTCTCACTGGCCATCACACTAATGCATCATGAGTTGTAGATATAGTAATTATTTGTGGAGATTCCCTGAGACCTGAAAGTTATTTCAAGGGTTTCCCTGTGTTGAAAAGGTGAAGAAGGCTGATCTAAACACTCATTACATTTACAGTCTGTACAGTACAATGTATCTATGCTTTGTCCTGTCAGTTTTTGACGGTTCTTGAGAGCTATGTATTTTGCCTGATCATGCTGATTGTTGTTCTGGTTTGACTTTAACTTGTCCTTGGCTATACTCTTTGTCGGCTACCAGCCGTGTCCTTCTTATCTGCTGTCTGACCTTCTGCATTGTTCTAAGTTTACCTACATCTTACAGGTTTGTACGCTACTTTTCTTCCAACTATCACTCGTCATGCTGCCACCCATCCAAGTTCCAATCATTATTATGGGACATAGTGAAGAATGGCCACTCTTAAGCCCCGTACACACGACAAGAATATTGGACGAATGATCATCCATTTTTCTTTTTTTTGCATGCTAGTATCGAAAGTAAAGAGGTTACTAACGTGACAAAAATTCTTGTATGACAGAAAAAAAAATTTGGAAGTGATGTAATGTATTTGTATTGTATTTTAACGAAATTAAACGAAAATTGTACAATCTGGTATCAACCGAGAAAAATGTTTGTGCTTGTCCCTTAAAATAATTGCGGATGAAAACTGTGTACTAACTATCAGATTATTGTATGATCCCTTCGAAAGCTGAATTTTTCGTATGATTTTTGTGTGTATTAAGCTTTAAGGACTATGAAACACTAGCAACAGCAACTTGGCACTCACAGGATCGCTCAAGAAACTACTCCATTGTTTCTATGGCATCTTTCCCTTGCTGACCAGACCAGTGAGTGACACCTTAAAATAGATGAGTAGTTTCTTTGCTCTCCATAGTGCTTCTGTGATGTTGCAGGCGTTGACAGGATCATTAGTTTTTCATAGGCCTTAGACTCTGTGTCTTTGTACATCTAGCAATGACCATAATCTATAACAGTTTGCTCTGGTCTGATCCCATCAATGTGCCGCTGCCTGACTTCCTTCATTCCTGGCTCACTAAGCCAAGTAGCAAGACTGTGTTTTTCATTTTGCATAAAGAATGGCTAAAACCAATGTCAGGGATTTTGTCTTCTGTCTTCCATTAGGGAGATTTCCCTTCACTTTATGTACTTCAGAGGCAACAGAAAATAAGAGGAAATTTCTCTAAAGTAAGGGAAACCCCTCTTAAACAGTTGACACCCAAATTGGTGTCCCCTTGGAATATTTCTCTTCTAATCCCTTTTACTGACAACTCAAAATGTAATTTTTTTTAGGCCCTCATTCACATGGGCACTTTGGCCTTTATACTGTGAACAGTCTGTTTTTTTCCTGCATCTCTAGGCTGCAGGTGCTGTGTGCAGGCAGCCCATTCAAGTGTATCAAGACACAGCGAATGCTCGTCCTACTATGAAAGGCACGCAGGTATGAGTGAGCGACCCCAAACGCACACTGTCTGTGTTTAAGGCTGCTTCTCCATACCCGCACACCTGTCACATTAGGATGAGCAGCTGTGTTCATGCAGTCGCTGCATCCTGATAAGCTTGAATGAGTCAATGGATGAGGACCACACTCCTTTCCGTGTTCAACCTTGGTAACAGATGGGTACTCGTAGTGACTGTAACGCACTGCGCCGTGCAAATCACAATAATGGGGTTGCTAGGCAACAATGCTAAATTCTTGATTTACCTTGCTACCCACATTGCATTTCTGTTTGTTTTTATTAGGAATATTTATTTTTAAGTGCTTGTTTTTGAGCGTAGCACTGGAGCATTTTGTTAGGCTGGATTATGCTACTATGACATCACTGGGTATTTGGTTCTGTATGTTTACTAATGTGTATATATATATATATATATATATATATATATATATTTTATGTGTGTATATATATATATATTTCCTTGCATGACAAGTTGTCATTGTGTCACGTTGAAGAAGGGACCCTGTACGGCCCTGAAACGTTGGTTTATTTGACTGATGTGTCATTGCTCTAATAAATGAGTGTATATGTTTGCAGTTGAGTGCTGTGATGGCTCACTGTTTTACTATTATGCTTGAATGGGTTGCCTGCATGCACCTGGAGCCTAGAGACGCAGGAAAAAATGGCCCATTCATGGTATACATTTATATAGGCTTCAGCTCCTGTATGAACAAGGCCTTAGTCCCAGTGACAACAATCAATGGAGACAGAAAGAAATGGGGACACAGACAGCACTTAAAAACTGACAAGAGTTCTAACCCTGCTGTACTCTATACTCCCCCCCCCCCAAAAAAAAAAAAAGAGTTTGGGCTTTGGCTTTACTGTATACACCAATTTAGTGTTTGACTGGAATGTGCCTTTAAAGGAATAGTTCACCTTTAACAAAAAGCTGCCTATGCAGATAAGGGGTGTCCATAGATAAAAATAAACTGTGCAGTTCTGATTAAAGTTGAAAAATGCCCTTGTTATAGGTGTAGGCCATTTACATACCTCCTGAAGCCTGACTGGAAAACTCCTAGGACGTTGCTACCCACATGGAAGAAAAATATATTTGAAATATATTTTTAAAATATTCCTTCCAAATATAATGACATATATTTGAAATACTACAATTTTGGCCTTATTCAATATATTTCAAAATATATTTCAATAAATATATATATATATATATATATATATATATATATATATATATATACACTGTATGTTGAAATGTATTTTTATTACAAAATATATGAAAAATATTTTTAAAAATACATTTTCAAATATACTGTATGTCTTTAAAAATACAAATCTACATTTTTGGAATGCATTTACATATATGTAAAAATATATGTTAAAATTACTTTTTGAAAATTATAAAAAAAAATATGAAGAATATTTCTAAAAATATATGTTATCTAAAAAAAGTCATTTTGACATATATTTTTACATATATTTGCAAATGCATTCCAAAAATGTAGATTTGTATTTGTAAAGACATACAGTATATTTGAAATGTATTTTTAAAAATATTTTTCATATATTTTGTAATAAAAACGCATTTCAACATACAGTATATATATATATATATACATATATATATATATATATATATATATATATATAATTTATTGAAATATATTTTGAAATATATTGAATATGGCCAAAATTGTAGTATTTCAAATATATGTCAATATATTTTGGAAGAATATTTTTAAAATTTATTTCAAATATATTTTTCTTCCATATGGGTAGGTGAAGCCTAGTC